CATCAAAGAGAATAAATGAAAGGATACGTGTGACCTTAAGCCATTGTTTATCACGTGATAAGTTTTCCTTCAATCCTGATACCACATTTTTCTTCATAGAGTCCAGCGTCTCAAAGAATTTGCTTAGCATACAGAGTGAATAGGTATGGAAGGATAGAACCCTGATGCACAGCTCTGGTAAACAGCTGAGCTGCAATCCCCAAAGCACGAGGTTTGAATCCACAGGAGAAGGATGGGCAATCTCCTGCCATGTAATTTACTGCCTCTGAAAACTGTCAGAGGGTCAGCCATGGGTTGGTTCCAACTTGCCCGTTACTCGACAACAGTGTTCCCTTGAAATATCAAAGTGTTTCCTTGATCTGTTTACACAACAGCAGCAAAGGCTGGAAGAGACAAGGAAGGACCCTCCCCTAGAACAAGCAGGGAGAGAACGTGTGCAGAAAAGGGCTGGGAGAAAACTCTCCTGTTCTGTTCTCAAAACCACCCTCCTTGTGGTTACAACATCCCTGGGAAACAACAGTCTCTCGCAAGATAAAGTCAATGTAAGATGTCCACATCCAAGACAAGGAGAATGTAGCCCAGACCCACTACCAGCGGGAAGAGGCAAAGGGGATATAGAGCTTGTATTAGGTGGCGAGAAAGCTTGCAATTGTTCAAGAGAAAAGGCAGAAACAAAAGGCTCGTAGAGGCTTTCCAAACCCTGCATTAAAGTTAAAATCTAATTTAGATGAAAATAGATGCATAGAAATTAAACGCCCACGTGAGGCTTTCGTTGTGTAGTTGTGTACCTCGTAACAAGAACGTTACCAAATTTATTCCTTTAGCTTGAAAAATAAAGATGCATTTGGAAATTTGATTTTGTTGTTATACAAATTGTCCCAGCCTGGTGAATAGTACAAACTCCATTTCTGATCCATTGCGAGCAAAAAATAGGGCATTAAAGTGTTTAAGATTCAATCAAAGGCTTTCTGTGGGCGCCACCATATTAAAATAACAGAAAAATCAATTCGATTTTTTCATTTTGAGCATGATTTATCACAAACAGCATTCTAATAGATAATGCTGATTATATGGTAGCAAATGTAATTTATATATAGTGAGCGCGACGCCTTTGTCAGAATCATCATTAAGGAATTTGACACATATGCAGGAGAACAATAAATGTCAACTGGAATATATACCACTTAGATACAAATGGAACACTGACGTGAGCGAGGCTGCACACGCTATACTTATAAGTAATAATATGCAGTCTAAAGGCGTGTGTGTTTTCAAACAAGAAGTCTTTTCATGTTGTCATTTAAAATATCTCATATTTCTGAAGGTCAGGAATAAATGGCACTATTAGCATTAAAAGCTAGTCAAAGAAAAAGTAATTTGTTTTTCATTTAACATAACATTTTATGAAATGGCTTGGTAAAGTGTTCATTTTCCCTCCCCCAGTGGAGGCTGCGAAGACAAGATGAAGATGCGTGACGCTTTAATGCAGGAGGTTTTCTCGGTGTTCTTGGTTCTTGTGGTTGCGGTAGACGGTAGTCTCCTATTGTCAACGTCTTGAATCTGTAAGATCTGTGCAGATTAATGGGGTTTGTGCTGAAGCTTGTTAATAAAGCTGTCTGCACAGCTATGTCTCAGTTGGCTTCAGCAGGGCACTCCGCGTGTCCCGGTGTGGGCCTCGGCAGCAGGAGTGTGGTTGGTCCAAGATGCCAGCAGGAGCAATGGAGGATGGAAGGCTTTGCTACCACTGACAGAGACTCAAGAGAAAGACGTGGTGTTGTGTCTTCCTCTTGCGTCTCAGGAGCCCAGCCCAAGCTAAATAAACCCCACCGCTGCTGAGTCAATTCTGACTCATAGCAACCCTCGAGGACCAAGCAGAAAGGCACTAGAGGGCTTCCAAGTCTGTAATCTTTACAGAAGCAAGCTCTTGGTGGCCTATGGGCAAGAAGCTGCACTGTAATCTTGATGGTATGTGGTTTGAACCCACCAGCTGCTCCGTGGGAGAAAGATGGACAATCTCCTCCAGTGCAATAACTGCCTCTGAAAACCCACCGGGTTTTCAGCCATGGGTCAGTTCCACCTCGATGATACACACAACAACAACAACAACAACGACAATCTTTACAGAAGCAACTCCTCACCGCTCTCTCACTGTGCAGCTCGTCGGTGCCAACCACTGGCTTTTTTGGTTAGCAGACCCAGTGCTTTACCCACTGCGTCATCAGGCCCCAGGTCAGGTACGGTGGCTGAGAAGTCAGGATTTGAATTTAAATCCAGATACAAGATCATGTCAGTCACAGGTCCAGAAGTCTAAAATATCACCAACTTTAACCATCTGTACAACTGCACAATTATTTTAGCTTTTCTCAGTCTCTCTCCCTGCACTACATATTTTAAAATTTGGTTCAAAAATTAAAACTATAATAACAACAAAAAACAACATAGGCAAATATCATTATCACCACCACCTGAACTTAGTAAACACAAAACTTTCTTTGTATTTGGTGCAAATTTGTTTGCAATTGAAAGTAAATATGACCTGGCTGATAAAGAAGGGTTCTCAATGCAATTGATAGGCTGCTGAGATCTGGACCGTGGATAAGGAGGACAGAAGAATCGATGTCTTTAAACTGCGGTGTTGAAGAATATTGAATATCCCATGGACTGTCAGAGAACAAACAGATATTTCTTTGAGAGGGTACAGCTAGAGTGCTCCTTGCATGATGAAACTGTCTCAGATGCCGTAGTCATGTTACTAGGAGAGGCTAATCATTGGAAAGGGACATCATCCTTGGAGAGATGGAGGGACAGTGAAAGAGAGGAAGATGCTTAACCAGGCGGGTTGACACGGTGACTGTGGCAATGGGTTCAAGTGCGTCAGAGATTGTGAGGTTGCCACAGGATAGGACAGAGTTCAGATTTGTAGTTCACAGGGTCACTATGAGTCATACTTGACTCGATGGCACCTAACAACGACAATAACAAATGCCTTTCTGGGCCATGTTTTTCTGAGCACATACATAACAGTGAATAGTATTTTATCAATCAAAATGCACAGAAGTGATCATTTCTATATTCAAAGGCATCTTCCTTATATTTGCTTGAGAAAAGCAAGGGCATGCAAGAGGGCATTGAGGGATTCTGGCAATGCCAAAACATAAGGGTCCTGGTTCATTCTTTTTCATTGCTTAGGTTATGTCTGACAGATGTGATCTTTGTGTTGTTTTGATTTGTATTTTTCAGCTTCCCATTCAAGATTGAAGCTCATTTTCGCTATTAAGCCTTCCTCTTTGTGGATTGTCATATATATATTTTGGCCCTTTCCCTCTTGGCTTTGCCTTTTCTGTATGTAGTCTGTATACTAATCCCCTGTCTGCTAGTTGAATTTCTAACAACTTCTCTGAGATAGCAGCTTTTGTATCTCTTGGTCTTTGGTGTCTCTGTTAGCCTGAAGGAACAACTCATGTGTCCCAGCCCCTCCTCCTTCACTTGTTAACTGTTTATTGTGTGCCAGCCACAGGACGAAGCATTTCACATGTCTTACTTGTCCCTTAAAATCACTCAGTCCCGTAACAAACATAGGTGTGCATATATCTGCTTGGGTCAGTTATTGTTTCTTGGGGCAGTTAGTGTTTCTTTAGGGTATATTTCCAGTAGTGGAATTAAGTAAAATGATATTTCTATTTGTAACTTTTTGAGAAAGCACCATACAGCCTTCCATAGTGGTTGCACCATTTTACACTCCCACCAACAGTGAATAAGGGTTCCAGTTTCTCCACAACCTCGCCAGCATTTGATGTTTGCTGCTCTGTTAAATTTGCTATTCTTACTGGGGTGAGATGATATCTCATAGTTGTTATTGTGGCTTTGTTCCCAATAGTAAAGATTTGGAAACAACCAAAGGGCCCATCAACAAATGAATGGATAGAGAAGCTGTGGTATATTCACACAATGGAATACTATGCTGCACTGAAAAACAAGGAACTCATGCAATATTATTCAAAATGGATGACCCTGGAGGACATTATGCTGAGTGCAATATCTCAATCACAGAAGGACAAATACTACATAGTGCCACTGTTGTAAAATGAGACTGACATCAGGGTTAAGGGGAGACTGAGAAAGAGGGAGTAAATAATGTATACTGCATTGAAACAGATGAGGGAAGAACTGTTTAAAAGGGATATATGATTAGGTATTATCATCATGACAGGAGTCCAGAATGAAGGCAGCATAGTGGAGTGGACTTGGGAGTAGGAATTGCATAACAAGAAAAGAACTTTTACTTTTCAAAGAAAAGAGTGAATTGGGTGAGGGGGAGGAGTGGGCAGGGGAGAAAAATGCAACAATGAATGAATGAATGGAAATCCAAAGTCTCTGTAAATGTTCATTGAAATTAATAATAATAAAGAAGAATTAATAGCAAAGGACAATAAAAAATCACTTAGTGCAATAGGGCAAGGTAAGTGTTTCCCTTGAATAAATTAAGCAACCAGCCCAGACTGCACACAAAGAAAGAGACAAAACTGAGAGGACATCTGGCTTTCCCTGACTCCAGAGGTTGGGTGTTCACCTTGATATCATGCCAGGAAAATTAGTAAGCAAGAAGATTCCAAAGTTCATCACAAAGGTTTACGTTACAAGGTTCATTGCCAAGGCAGATGGAAGCATTCATATTGGTCTTCAACCTTGCTTGTACCTAAAGCTTTTAAATATACTGTTTTGGTTCTTTAAAATAATGCCCTAGCCTAGACATTCCAATGCTCTGAGGTGTGGCCTGGACATAAGAATTCTCTAAAAACTCCACATTGCTGGGAGTGAGGTGAGCAGGCGGACTTCCAGACATTACCTGTGGCTGCTTGGTTCCAGTTCTATAATCATTTCTGCACCTGGACACCGGGACTTGGAGAGGAATCATGACATCAGTGCCAAACCAACACCACCACATCAAATTGCGTGCATTAGACAATTTATTGCCGCAAAGACAGAAGAACAGCACCACCTTAACAAGGGTAGAGAGACTGTAAAACATCTTCTCGCACCGTGTCTTCGCTGCAAAACGTGTACCTGCGGAGGAAACGTTTGGAGCATGAGTTCCTACCGTTTGTGGAAATCTGATCTCAGAGGAGAAAACTGTGATTAGCTGACTCCCTGGAATCTCAGTTGCTTTGACTGAATCCTGGGTAATGGTTCCCACTAAACAAAACAAGGAAGAGTCTCCCTTCCCTGTGAGATCCTAACAAACTGGAGCAGAATTAGTCACATAAAACAAAGGTTTTGTAAAAACAAGGGTGTCTCTTGTGGACCGGCAGCGTCAGGCCTAGAAATAAGGATACATCTTCAAGGATATGAACATGTACAGCCAAGCACAATCAATAAGAGTGCATCTAAATTCCAAAATCAATCTCCATAATAGTCTATGTGTTTCCTACTGCCAAAGGGGCCCTTTAGAGTAGTGAGAGAAGATCTTCACCCTGAAACCCACAGCGTCCCTTTTCAGCAGGAAGTAGCTAAGAGAATATGCCATCCCCTTTTCCTTATGACTCAGGGTGAAGTCTCTCTCAGGGAGGAGTGATAGGGAATGGCAAAGGACACACTGACAAAGAAGATTAATCAGAACTGGCTTTGACAAGCACTGTGGCATTTGGACAAGAACAAACTGGGAGGAGGGTAGAGAGAATAGTGCAACAATGAATGAGTGGAAGCCCAAAATCTCTGTAAATGTTTATGAAAATTAATATAATTATAGAAAAAAAAAGAAATAAGTACATGGATGCCCAGAGAATGCAAATGGCGCAGTTGCACCTGAAGGCCTTTTAACCCAGCAATTCTATTCCCACACAGAATTATAGAAAAATGAGAATGTATGTCTGTATAAAAACAGCAACCTAAATATTACTAGCAGCATTATGCATGACAGTGCAAAACAGGAAACAATGCATATGTGTGTTAAACCAATGAATGAGTAAATCATACGTGGTCCAGGCAGACAATAGACTACTATTCAGAAATAAAGGGGAATGAAGTCCCGAGACATGCTCTGAGATGGGTAAAACCTTGAACATATTTACTAAGTGCCAGAAGTCAGACACAGAAGGACAAGTATTGTATGATTCTATTTATAGGAAATGGCCAGAATGGAAAAATCTGGAGTCAGAAAATAGATTCGTGGTTGCCGAGGGCTGGGTTAAGGGCCTTGAGAATGATCACTAATGGATATGCAGTGTCTTTATGAGGGAGAGAAAGGTTCTAAGATTGATTGTTCTGAGATTGTGGTTGCACAGCTTTGTGACAATGTTAGAAGTCACGGAATGCACACATTAAATGGGTGAGTTGTAAGGTGTATGAGTTATAACTCTAAACTTTTCTAAAGAAGGAGGAAGAAAGTGAGTAATAGGAGGAGGAAAAGGAGAAGCAGGTCCCACAAAGCCCATAAGAGACAAGCACTCTGGGCTCCTTCCTTCTTTGCTGTCTTTGGCTAAAGGTGGAGAATGTGACCAAATCAGCCTGGCCCAGGGCTCAGATTCTCGGTACATTTCCTTCATGTGGGAAACCTGATGCGGTAAAGTTCTTGGGTGCTGGGTTATATAGTGTGTGGGCCTCAGTGTACTTGTAAAGAATACCTTCTTCTTCATCCATACCTCGCCCACCTTTTCTACAGTGTATTCCACAGCCAGGACTTAGTTGGCTTCCTATCTGGCGGCAAGAGTGGATAATAGAGATAGGTGCACTGGGCTGGACAGCAGAGTCCCAGGCCTGAGCTTTTGTTTGTTTTCTGCAGAGGAATAGCACAGCCCTTCCCACACCCGATCCAGCAACATGCCAGTGGATCAAGGTTATTGCCGTTTCACAGCCTGCAAAATGAAGTTCTGGTGTGTATTTCAGAAGACATTCTGAGGCCCAGTATTCTTTGCACTTGCTTCCCTCTGTGACCTTAACCCAGTTACTGGACTTTGCATCTTCCTTTCCTGATCTTAAAGTAAGAACAGTTGAGAGGTGACATCTAAATTCCCTTCAAATGCTAACATTTTCTTACTGTCCTTTAAAAAAGATGTCTCCTCCATGATTCTTTATTTCAAAAGAGGTTATGTTCCATCTTTTAATCTAGCAAGTATGATTCTAGGTCCTCAGAATGAGAAGAGCTTGGTCGCTGCGAAACAGATTTCCAATATAATTCATATCCCTCTCATATAATGGACTATAAACAAACAAACAAACAAACAAACTAATTAGCATGAATAATTGCACACCCACTGGAATAAACTCAGAGATTCTCTCTAAATATCACAGTAGGTATTTTACTTGCTGTTTTAGATGAAAAAAAAAAAATATAGTCTCCTGTTTGTCTGTAGGACTTAACCCTCCCAAGTAGAATTTGGCCTTGAAAAACGGCACTTGATTTTTCAAATTGAAGTAGGTGGATATAGAGACCTGAGGTGATAGTTGGGCAGATGAATGGATAACTGGCTGAGTGAATGGACGGATGGACAGCCAGAATGGCAAGAGAAGGAATCTGGATGAATGGTGGAGGGATAAATGGATAAGCAGAAACGGGTGGAGGGATGGATGTACAAGTTAGTGGATACACAGCTTAGAAGGTGGATGATTGGATGGGTGGGTGTGGATGTAAATGGTTGAATGAATATAAATAATCAGACTTAGAGTAAAAGATACTCACTCAGTCCTGTCTTCACCACTTTGCACAGTAATTTGGGAAGCCCCCAGTTTGGGCTTCAGGAGATTTATCACATGGTTGTTCCAGAGGAACTTAACCTTCTCAATTTTTCCAACATTGAGATCCACGTCAATGTCCAGCATATGACTGGTATTTGGTTCCAGGGTTCCTCTGAAAACATAGACGCAGAAAGGTCTTATTAACTGGATACATGGTGATGACTGTGTCATCCTTCCAAACAATAGTTGCTGCTGCTAATTTTCTGTAAAGGCTTCCGTTATGGATTTAATTATGTCCCCTCTCCCAACAAAATAGATGCATACAATTGTAAAATATAGAAGCTATGTAATGAGCCTTCATGGTCTACTAAACCATATAGCTAGAAGAAGATTAAGGGTGGAATGTAACAGTCCTTAATCCCATCACAATAAGAGAAAGCTTCCTAGAGAGTGGCTTGTAAAAACAGAAGGGAAGGAAAGTTAGCTGCGAGGGGCACATCCCTACCACCAAGAAATAATCCTCAGAAGTGCCTTTTGGACTCAGCTAGAAAGTTCATTGACATAACAGAAGGCCAGGACACATGGAGATCTCCGAGGAATGCTGACCCTGAGGATGTTAAAGAAAATGTCTCCAGAGCAGCAGAGGAAGAGGGGCTTCCCTAAGAGCTGGCACCCGGAGTTTGGGCTTCCAGATTCCTAATCTGTAAAATTATAAAATTCTGTTTGGTAAAGTCATCTACTTGTGGTATCTCTGTTGCAACAACACTCGATATACAGCCTCCTAGCACTAGATAAACACCTAGGCTCAGACCAAACAGAAGTGTTTATGCAGCACACTTCTTTACAAAGCATTGAACTTTAGATTTGCCTTTAGAGGGAAGTAAAATATTTGGAGGGCATGTTAATTCTGTAAGTTCACTCTGTTATTGCTGGGTGCCATCAAGTATGACTCATAGTGACCCTATGAACAATAGATCTGAACCATGTCCTGTCTTGCGACATTCTCATCACTTTTAACATAATTGAGCCCATTGTCACAGTCACTGTATCAATCCACCTTCAACCAGGTCTTCCTCTCATTTTCTGAACTAACTTTTTTAAGTATGATGTCTTTCTCTAAAGAATAGCCTCTCCCAACAACATTTCCAAAGTATGTGAGACAAAGCTTTGTCATCTTTGCCTCCAAGAATCATTCTGGTTGTATTTTCTCCAAGACATACCTGTTGGTTCTTTTGACAATCCATCAGATATTCAGTACTCTTCCAACACCACAGCTCAAAAGTATCAATTCTCCTTCTGTCATCCTTAATCATTGTTCAGTTCTCAGATGAATAGGAAGTGATTGAAAAGACCATGGCCTGAATCAGGCACACCTTAGTCTAATAAGACTTGGTGCTATAGTGTATTAAAATTCACTATAGGACTAATTTATATTGTGCTTCATTGTTTAAAGTTGCAGTTGGTTCTGCTGAGGCCACCTGTCAGCTCCTCATTTCCAAGTGGTGCAAATTACTCATGAGTTTGGGTCCTCATCTAGGGGTTGGCATTTTGAGTCTCCCTAGAGGCAGCTCTGGTAGCCCAATGGGTGAGGAGTTGAGCTGCTATCCTAAAGGCAAGTAGTTTGAATTCACCAGCTGCTCTGAGGGAGAAAGATGGACAATCTCCTCTTGTGTGATTTACAGCCTCTGTATTTGTAATCACAGCAGGGTCAGCTATGAGTCAAGTCTAACTTGATGGCATGTAACAACAATAATAACAACCAAGGCACTTCGAAATACCAGCCTGGCAATCTATGTCTGAGATACCAGCCACTGAACATTTTTATGAAGCATAGTTCTATTCTGATTACACAAGTAAGACTCAACAACTCAGCTTACTGCTTACGGGCTGTTGAGTCGATTGTGACTCGTAGTGACCTGCTGCTGGGTTACTGAGGCTGTAAATTACAACAGGAGGAGGTTGCTCATCTTCCTCCTGTGGAGTGCTGGTAGATTTGAAGTGCCAGAGACATGCAACGTGTGGGTTAGCAGCACAACTCTAGACAGGCTCTGCCGTCAGAGCTCCCTGTGCATGGAAGAGATGGTGCAAAAACGGAACCGAGATGTACAGCACAGGTTATGCATCCACCGAGTACATGTGAACCAAGCTCCTCATGTGCCCACATTGTGTCCAGTGCTGAGCCAAACACAGCAGTGTGTGTGTGTGTGTGTGTGTGTGTGTATGGAGTGTGTGTACTGGGGTGGAAGGCATAATCTGATAGTCCTAAAATCTCTCCAGGGAGCTCTAGTGACTTAGTGGTAAGGGATTTTGCTCCTGATTTTGCAAAGGAATGTGGTTCAAATTCACCAGCTGCTCTGTGAGAGAAAGAT